ACTGTTTAATGAGAAACTATTTGTTCTATAAACCTTCACCTAAAGTACAATAAAAAAAATAAATAAGCTGGTCTTCAGACTTAATGGTTTGATTGAGACTGGGGGGACCCTGGAAGACATGGCCTCCGGACTCTCTATTAGCCCAAAACTAAAACCATTCCCGAGGCCAACTCTTCAGACAAAGATTAGACTGGACTATGGGATATAAGAGGATACTCGTGAAGAGCGTGCTTCTTAGCTCAAGTAGCTACATGAGACTAAATGGGGCAGCTTCTGTCCGGAGGTGAGATGAGAAGGCAGAGAGGGTTAGGAGCTGGTTGAATGGACACGGGAAATCTAGGGTGGAAAGGAGGAGTGTGCTGTCACAGTATAGGGAGAGCAACTAGGGTCACATAACAATTTATGTATAAATTTTTGTATGAGAGACTAACCTGAATTGTAAACTTTCACTTAAAGCACAACAATTAAAAAAAAAACAAAACTGGTCCTATTGTTCTACTGGCAGTTTGTTTCCCTGTGGAATTCACCTTCTCCACACAGCACCAGTCAGAGTCCCTGGCTATTCTCCCAACAGAGGATGGTCAAAACAGAAGCGTTAGCCCGTTGTCCATAGGCGCTGTTGTTGTTACTTGTTGTTGAGTGGATTCCGAGCTGTTACTGTCAGGGAAATGGGGGCAAGGCTTTGGGCAGGGAAGGTACTCAGAGGGTCTGTGTTGACAGAGTTGTTCTCCCATCTCCAGGACCAATAGTTCTGGCATTGGAAACAAGGAGGAAAATATGCGAATATTGACTGGAGTACAAATGAAAACCCTCTTCTGTTCTATGATCTCTCCAGTTGGGAAGCTGGTTTTCTGTTGCTTCAACAAGTGGCTGGAGGACACACCTGGGCTGTCTAGGGCCAGAGAAATATACTCTCTCAGCTTTTAGCAGCTTCTGAAGGGCCTCTTCTCCCTGTTTTCTCCATTCCCCCTTGCCTGCAGAAACTCCTTGTTCAGAGGAGGGTTTTGTGAGACAAACCATGGATTTACAAACATAGGGAAGGGCAGCTCAGCCAGACGCTTGTCTCTGTGCTGCCGCAGTCACTGTGCTGGAACTCTCTGCTGAGGAGGGTGGCTTGTCTGGTCTCTGCTGGTCCCACAAAGCACTCATTTTCCTGTTATCACGAAGGCAGTTAATTACAGATTTTGATCCTCTCTGCGTCTTCCCTCCCTTACAACACACACCTTCATCTCTTCTCCTTGCATTACTGCCAAGAGAATACAAACTTCACTTCTCTGTCATCTGAGCATCATTCAAAAACATTACGCGATCTGTGCGTTATCTCCTGACTTCAATCAGGGCAGAGTTACAGGTCCTCTACCGGCGGGAGGGAGCAGCCCAACAAAATCTGAAGACCCAAGACTTTCAGCAGCTGTGGCGAGCAGGGTAGGAAGCCACAAAACATTGCAAGCTGAAAAGATGTCTTAATAAGCCTTTAGATGTGATCCAGCTGGCGGTCAGCGGCGGAGGAGGCTAAAGGGAAAAAGGCAGCAGGCATTGTAACGTAAATCACCGCAGACCCACTGAGCGTGACAGCTCTAGGAAGCTAATGATTTCTCCAGGAAAGAATTGGCTGCAGCTATCCTGAAATACAATGCGATGCACAGAGGGGAGAACAGACCCCCGCATGTGAGTACAGTTTCTCTTCAACACAGGGCGTGGAGCTGATGGTTCTAACCATGGGTTCCTGGGGACCTGTGATGTCTCTGGGTGGGCTGTGCATCATGCCTGGCTGGGACTTTTGTTTGCCATCCCTTCTAGAATATTTTGCCTGTCAGGAGACTGAATTTAGTAGCTTTTAGGATACTGGTACCAGGAGATTTTGTTGTAAATCCCCAAAAAAACAGCAAAAACAAATCTTGTTGACGCTTTGCTGTAAAAAGAAAACAGATCACATCACAAATCAAGCAGCAATGTGACCCTCCGGCATTTGTGATGTGAGATAAAAAATTGCAAACTGGAGGACAATGAAAAGAGGGGGGTCGGCTGGGAGGAGGGAGGAAAATCTCTCATAGAAGCTAAATTGCTTTCTAGATTCAGAGTGTTCATCGCATACTTACGCTCATGCATTTATTTCATTCCTGCCTAAAGAGCTGGCAGCATTTTTGCATTTAAGGTTTTCCTCCAGAACACGCAAAAGTGAGCATCATGAAAAAGAGGGGTGTGATTGATAGACTTGGGGCAGGTGAAATTCCTCACCCCCAGCAACAGGAAGTGTCTTGAATGACAGCTGATCTACTTGGAAGGGGAGGCTCAGATTTAATGAGGGAATGGGGCTCCTCCTACATCCAGGCTACCCAACAGGTTGGCATTGAAGTTTAACTGGTTGGTTACAGACTGGTCACCACCGCTTTATTCCCTTTCCCTCCTCACGCATTGTCTGGGGTCCCCCGTCTCTCCCACCTCTCACCTCCTACCTCCTCCACCTGGCCTGGTTTGTCAATTCAGAAGTATCAGATGAAAAGCAGAATATCTCCTCACTCCAAAAGGATGGGGGAGTATTGTTCTAAATGGGAGGGAAGGATTTAGGATTTAGGACCGTGATCATGAGAGGTGGACAGGATGCTGGCTTACTGGCGTCTTTGCTGGGGCTGCACCCCCATTTACAGGAAGGGGCAGAGGAAGCAGAAGGGAAGACCTGGCCACTTTGATGCCTTCCCACCCACCCTCTGTGTAAATGGAACTGCAGATGAATGCTAGAGGTCCTAGCAATGAGACTATTACTGGGTTGCAGTTGAGAATGAACTTGAGATACCCAAGCACACAGTGATGGTGTTAGCAGCAAACTAGGAATTGGAAACCTGGGATTCTGTTCCTGATTTTGCAGGCAGTTTTCTGTGCAACTGTGTGGGGGTAGTATCCAAAATCCCTTGTGAGCCACCTATCCTGGAGGCTGCTCGTTACCTCAGCAGGCAGATAGTGAATTAGTGGTGGTGGAGGAGAGGGAATGGGGAGCAGTCTTAGCTGTAACTGAGAAGCAAAAGATAGAACTTGAAATTTCTGCTCAGTCAACATTTTCTCACAGTTGTAGTGTTTTTCTATCTCAAACAGAAGAAAAAAACTAGATGTTGGACTTAGGTTAGCAAAGGACTGTTTACCAAAGTTAATTATCTAAACAAGGGTATCTCAGTAGCTTGCAAATATGGCAAGAAGTGTACCTGAGGGCTTTAATCTCAGTATCTGAGAGGCTGACTTTATGGCAGGGACAGAAGGTCACAGTGGAGTGGGTATCAGTTTACCACAGGCCTGTTTGACCCTTGCATCCATTCTGTTGGTCTGCAGCTCACAACCTCAGCTGATGGGCTGTACTGAGGTTGCAGTAAAGATATCTCTACCCTCAGGAACTAAGCTGTGGGATAGATTTTTAGTCATGGTAATAATATTTGTATGAGTTGAGCCATAGCAATTAAGACATTCAAATGTACATTGCAGGAAAGGTATTGGAAATGGGGAGGGGGAGGAGTTAGGTCATGTGCACAGGGATAACAAATAGGTAGAGGAAGGGGAAGAATTTGGTTGTGGGAAGGAGATCCTATAGGAAGATGTGGCTCATATTGTATATTTTGCTGCCACTTGGGCCTGAAGTGCTTTTGCAGTATTTGGGCAAACAGCTCAGGTCAGTGTAATCAGTTTAAATGGACGACAGATAAACTGAATAAGAAGAGACAGTGTACTCTATGTTTACAAAAACAAACCACTTCCAAATGGTTGGCAGTAGAGAAACATAAAGTGCAAGGTACGATCTTTCACTGTGACAGTGGGGATTTTCAAAGGCATTTCCAGCTCCATTTCTCTCAGTGTCTGAGTCACAACTTCGTTCTTTCATTGGCTCATTCATTCAGCAAATACTTCTGGAGCATCCAAGGGATCTCTGATGAGGCTATCCAAGGAGTCCTTGCTTCAGGCCTGCCCTTCTCCAGACTGCTTGAGTTTCTAGTGAGCTTGGAGAGCAGGAGCAAGATGGGTTTGTGAGGGTTCCTTCCATTTACTTGCCATTCTTTACCCATATTGTGGGCAACAGATGGAGAGGAATGATAAAACTTGATAATTCACAAGTTGGGGGAATAAGAATGATCTTTCTAAAGTTATAATATTCCCATCTGGCCAACACTTTCGTATAATGAGATGTTGTTGTTGTATGCCGTTGAGTCGATTCTGACTCATAGCGACTCAATATGACAGAGTAGAACTGTCCCCATAAGGTTTCCCAGGCTGTAATCTTCACAGGAGCAAATTGCCAGGTCTTTTTCTCCCATGGAGTGGCTGGTGGGTTTGAACCACCGACCTTTCATTTAGCAGCCAAGTGCTTAACGCTTACACCACTAGGGCTCCTTATGTAATGAGATACCACCTTTAATTCCCACCACAATCCTTGGAGAGAGCTGTTCTTATCTTTGTCTTATGTATGTTTTATTTATGGGGAATGGGGGTCAGAGTGGGATCTAGTCCAGACCTTTTACAGCCATGCCGTGGCTGATTCCCTTCTTTAGAGAGCAGAAGAATCATTGAGTTTGACTGGAAGCAACTGTAAAAGATATCTGCATCTTCCAGGCCTTCAAAATTGGAATGTGTAGTAGGGTCTGGGATGAAGAATGGTGGCCCTTTGGCACAGCATTTTCGTTCCTTTCCATTTGCATGTATTGCTATTTTTAATAAGTATGTTTTAAAGTGAACCCTGGTAGCACAGTAGTTAAGTGCTCAGCTGCTAACCAAAGGTCAGCGGTTTGAACCCACCAACCAATCTATACAAAAAAGCCCTCAATTCCTTGCTCTCCCAGCAGGAGTAGTTTAAAAAAAAAAAAAAAATCCTTCAAATCAACTCAGATTCATGGTGACTCCATGTGTCTCGGAGTAGAACTGTGCTCCATAGGGTTTTCAATGGCTGATTTTTCAGAAGTAGATCACCAAGCCTTTTTTCTGAGGTGTCTTTGGGTGGACTCAAACTGCCAGCCTCTTGGTTAGCAGCTGAGCGTGTTAACCTTTTGCAGCACCCAGGGACTCTAGATGTAGATTAGATAGACCTTTAGGCAGTCCTTCTTCTGCCCAAAGAACCCTTCACCTTTGAATCAATTACCAGTGGCTTTGGTTTGGTCTAATGGTTGCCCGGGACTACTGGAAAGAGTCACAGTCTTTAAAATCCTATTTATTTGGGTCATTGGTGAAAATAAGGGTTTAAATTTACAACTAATTATCTTCTAGGCTATTGATCTGAGTCAGTGCTTTTTGTCTGGTAGGTGATTTTAGGCAGCTACTTACTTTCTTTGTGTTAAGTGGGGAAGCAACACGACTAGCCCTTCCTTCCAAATTGGAAGTGCACACTGTCAGTGTTCCCAGCATCCAGGTGTCTCCAAGGCGGATCGTTTCAGCAGTAATTGGAACCAAGAGATGGCTCGGGCCTGTGCCCAGCTCTCCATCTGTTCCAGAACTCCGGGAACTGCACCATTTACAGTGAGAAAAGGATGAAAGAAGAGACTGCAGTAAATGCTGGGAGTACACACCAAGGAGAGAGCCCACTCTTCGGGGCCTCTGTCGGGTCTGGTCCACAGGCACCTGACCCACTAGGGGAATTGGCGTGTTAGCTGTGGTGGGCCCACAAAACACAGCCCAGAAGGCCTTTTGTGGTCATATACAGTACAGTTACCTGCCCAAAGAAGGTGGGTCTGTACACCAGGCAGTGTTTGAGGGATCGTATCAGGCCTCTGCTACCTAGGACAGAAATGTAGAACAAACTTCGCAGTTCTGGCCACTGTCCTCTCTAGTGTCCCCGAGGAGGGAAGAAAGGAGGGAGGTTGGCCCTGGAACTCCTGTGGCAAAGATTGGCCAGCTCACGTTTTCACAGTTAATCACACGCAGTCTGTATCCTCCATACTATTTTCCACTTGGAAGCTGTGCTCTGGCTTTGCTGTGTTGAGTGTGCTTCCCTCACTGCCCCTCGCCCCCAGATTCCCTCCCCTGCAATCACAGAATGCCCTAACATCAGAGAGAAAGAGGTGTGGCCCGTCCCGTGTATTGAGTGGCTATTGAGTGGCGCTGATGGCAGCTTTGTTTTTTAACCCCCAGGTCCTGAAGATGGCATAGTAACAAAGGCACCTTCCAATGATTGGGAGCATCTTGACCTGTGGGTGCCGGCTCTGGCCAGTGGCTTCGTGTTGAGCTGAAAGAACTTGTCTACCACTTTCCAGAAAATCTCTTTCTCTCCTAATTCATGAGCCAGCAGGATGCGGTCGCTGCGCTTTCAGAACGCCTTCTCATAGCTGCGTACAAAGGCCAAGCAGAGAATGTGGTTCAGCTCATCAACAAGGGCGCCAAGGTAGCGGTTACCAAGGTAACGAGAGGAGAAACTCTTTAGCCATTCCCTGGGAACCAGCCTATCTCTTAACCATTGTCTGCAAAAGTGTTGTGTTTGGTTTGCAGCTTTCAAAGAACTTGCTTTTTTTTGCAGTGATGGAGGTTTGGGGAGAAAGAGGAGGATTAAACATGCTTTCATTGCGATCTTACAAATGGAGTAACTTGTAATTAGCATTTGACCGTTTTGAAAATCACAGTGTGGCTTTTTCTCACCTACTCCTTTAGCTAAATGGGCAGAGATCTCTTGGGAGAAGTTGGGACACAAAGGCTTACTGGAAAGCATCTATGTATGGTAATCATGTTAGACAGCCGCCTAGGGAGGTGAACCAGCTTCTGGTTGGGAGCCCCTCAGCTGCTCGGAGCCTCATTATCCCCATCTGTACAATGGCGGGCTTGGACCAGATGACTGCCATGACCTCTTCAGACTTTGATTTTATATGGGTCAGTGAAAATATGTGGCGAGCTTTGGAGGATATTCCCCATCTGTCTTAGTTATCTAGCGCTGCTATAACAACAATACCACAAGTGGATGACTTTAACAAACAGAAGTTTATTGTCTCACAGTCTAGCAAGCTAGAAGTCTGAATTCAGGGCACCAGCTCTAGGGGAAGGCTTCTGTCTCTTTCAGCTCTGGAGGAAGGTCCTTGTCATCAATCTTTCCTTGGTCTAGGAGCTTTTCAGCACAGGGATGCCGTGTCCAAAGGAAGCACGCTATGCCTGGCACTACTTTCTTGGTGGTATGAGGTTCCCCTGTCTTTCTGCTTGCTTCTCTCTTTTATATATCAGAAGAGATTGACTCAGTATACAACCTAATCTTATAGATTGAGTCCTGCCTCATTAATATCATAGAATAGAATTTACAACACATGGGAAAATCACATCAGATGACAAAATGTTAGACAGTCACACAATACTGGGAATCATGGCGTAGCCAAATTGACACACATTCTTGGGGTACACAAGTCAATCCATAACACTATCCCACACCAACAGCATAATGGTAAATGAGAGAACATACTGCCCAAAAGGCAGTTTTCTAACAAATCTGAAAAAAGGCAAGCTTTGCACAGTTAGGTGACAAGTTTAAACACATAGACCAAGCAATATTGATGATGACACTTACTGAGTACTTAGTATTGCTTTAAGCTCTTTACCTTTCATTTAATCCCCACAGCAGTCCTTTAGAAGAGGTTCTGCTTCATCCCCACTGTAGAGATGAGGAAACTGAGGCACAGAGAGATTTAAGGAACTTGTCCAATGTCCCTCAGTTGCTGAGTGGCAGAAGTGCAGATATTCTAAGGCCCATTCTCTAGACCACCACAGAGAGAGCTGGGATTGGGGGGGAGTTAATTTTCAAATAAAGTCTTAGCATTAACCTCTGAACTCCTGTGGCAAAGATTGGCCAGCTCACACTTTATGGTTTATCACATGGTGTCCATATACAGTGAAACCTGCGAGAACCAGAACTTGACAGGACTGCCTTGTTTTTCCGGGCCAGTTGTCCACGTTTGACAGTGTACAGTTTTACCACTTCTCTATTGCTTGTTTATGTGGAAAATACTTGAGTTTTCCTTCTGTGACAGGTTTCCACCTTACACAGGTTCCAACTTTTATAGGTTTTACTGCATTTCATGCTGATCTCTAGAGAGACAGAAAATCTTGGTGTACTTGTAGTTCCCCCATGAAGCCTAACAGTGCCCTGCACATCACTGGATTGTGTGGGACTGAGGGTAAAAGGGAGCCTTAACTCGGTGCTGTCCAATATGGTAACCACTAGCCACAGGTCTTAATTATCTAGCGCTGTGGTAACAAAAAATACCACAAGTGGGTGGCTTTAAAGAACAGAAGTTTACTTTCTCACAGTTCGGGAAGCTGGAAGTCGGAATGCAGGGGGAGGGGGACCTCTATCGGAAGGTCCTTTGTCTATTTCAGCTTCTAGTACCTGCCAGCAGTCCTTGACATTCCTGGGCTTGTAGATGTATCTGCTGTGTGTGTTTGTCTTCATATAGTGTCTTCCCCGTGTATCTCTCTGTGTCTATTCTGCTCTTTTTTATAACTCAAAAGTGATTAGATTTAGGACCCACCTTACTCTAGTATGACCTCATTAGCATAACAAATAAATCCTCTATTTTCAAATAAGCTCATATTTACAGGTACAGGGGTTAGTACTTCAACACATATTTTGGGGGGACAAAATTTAATAATCCATAACACTACCTGTCGCTATTAAAATGTGGCTAATGTGACTGCAGAACTGAATTTTAAATTTTATTTAATTTTAATTAATTAAAATTTAAATGCCACATGTGGCTGTTGTCTGCCATGTTGGATAACACAGCTCTAATATCTTCCTGAGAATGAGTGCACAGAAGAGATTGATCAACTTTGGACATAATCTATTGAGTTTTCATTAAGATTGATGAGGAATTCAGCTTTCTCACATGCCCTTTTCTCCTTCACATTCTCTCAATCTAGTTATATCACAATTTTTTATCAGATCCATAGGTAGTGTGATTATGTAAATACTGTTCACTGGTGAGCCAAGAAGGGTACTATAATTATGTTTTCATTTTTTATATAACTTGCTCTTTTTCCTGGAGTTGATAATTGCCTTGATTTTTCATGTTCTTTTATTCAGACTTATAGTTAAGCATTTCTTCTACCTGCCAACACCTCTGAAAAATAGTTCTTGGTACAATTTTCCATGATTATACCTATCACATATTTATTCATTTTATTTATTTATTTATTTCTGGAGATATCCCTTCTGGAGTCATCCATGCTTCTATTCCCATTTGATCCAGCTTGCTCTCTAGGTCTGCTGCACAACTATCATCCTGAAAATTCATTTCATCTCTCTCCTGGTTAGATCCCTTGTTTGCTGGAACCCATGTCATCCTCACGTTGGTGGTGCATATTCTGTTGTACCTTCCTAAGAAAGAGAGCACAGGAGATAAATTTTTTGAGACTCTCTGAGTCTGAACAAAGCCTTTATTCTACCCTCTTGATTAGCTGACAACTTGTTATAGAGAAACAGGCAGAGAATTATTTTGCCTCATAATTTTGAAGGCAATGCTTCATTGTCTCTGAGCTTATAGTGCCTCTATTGGAAAACTCAGCATATAGCTTCTTCCTTGCAGATTAGGTGCTTCTCTCCTAAAAGACATTTTAAAACCACTCTGCTCCTTTAAGGCCTGCCATTCAGGACTCGGCTCAGGAGCCACCACCTCCATGAAGTCCATCCCAGAACATACCTACATGGAACTCGCTGTCCTCTCAACTGATGAAGCACTTCCATCCAGGCACTTTGTGTCCCTCATAATTGTATACTGCTTTGTGGGGGCTCAGAATTCCCCACTGGATTAACAGTTGGGGTCATAGTTTATCTCTTACATTTCTCTGTGCTTGACACAGCAGAAAAGCCCTGGGAATCCAAAAACCTTGGTACAAGCGCCTGCTCCACTGCTTATTAACTGCTTGTTAATGTAGCCAGGGTTTCTCAGCTTTGGCATTATTGACGTTTTTGGTTGGATAATGCTTTGTTATGGGGGCCTGTCTTGTGCATGGTAAGATATTTAGTGGCATCACTGGCCTGTACTTACTAGATTCTAGTAGCACTTCCCCTGCCCCCAGTTGTGACAACCTAAAATATCTCCAGACATTGTCAGAGGTCTTGGAGGGGTGGGTGGGGGTGGCAAATCACCCCTGGCTGAGAACCACAGATACAGGCGAATCTCTTCACCTCATTGAGTCTCAGTGTCTTCACAAAATTTACAGTTTCCGGAAGGGCTAAGTGTGATAACCCATGTTGCCACAATTATAAAACTTGAGTGGGCACAAAACGTTGTATGCTTTTTTTTAACCCCTCCAGTGCATGGTATGCACACAGTAGGCCCCATATATGTTGAATGAGGAGAACAATGTTGTTGATTGTAAATTACCTACACTTAGATTGTGCTTGTTAGGTGTCACATACTCTTGTAAGTGCTCTACAAAGATGAAACTTTTTTAACCTCACCACAAATCTATTATCCACATTAAACCAGTGAGGAAACTGGGCAAGGACAGGTTAGGTAGCCCGCCTAAAGTTTCAGTTAGAAAATGTCAGAACTGGGATTCGATCCCTGGCCATCTGGTTGCAGAGTCCTTGCTCTTTACCACTATGTTGGAACTGTGTTGTTTATAACTTTGTGAACTGCCTGTGGGCTGCTTCTTGTAGAGCACATTCCTTGGCATTTTACACATAGTAGTTACAATCTGCATGTGTTTGACTCTCTGGGACCTCATATACTTTAATAAAGTACTTTATTAAAGGAGCTTTAATAAGGCAATGTCCCAATATTGATATTGTACATGTGTGTAGTACTTTATACTTTTTAAATTGTTTTCACATATGTGTTGCTGATCATTAGAACCCTTGTGTAGTTACAAGGAAATGGAGGCCCCAAAAGGGAAGTAGCCCTTTTTCATCCCCCCTTTCTTTATGAATGTCTTAAGAACTTTGTCTTCATTGAATCATATGCCCAAGAAGAACTTTGAGATCTTCTGACCCAAATCTACACCACTCCTGGCGGTTGAAGTTCCCAAAAAAATACTGTCTGTGATAAAGGGGCACCTAGGAACGTTGGTGAGGATCTTCTACCATTTAAACCTAAATCGGGGGTCAAGTGGTTAGTATTCCAGTTACATGCAGTTCTGCTCCAAACAAAATCTGAGATCGTGAGAAATCATTTTGCCTCTATAATAAGCCTTACTATCTTTATCCAAATTAAATTCTGAAAGACCCTTTTTAATCTTAATATATTGTTTCTAAAGTATGTGCCAGTCTTATTTTACTTGCATCACATCTTTCTTGCCTCCTACTACTTCTTTTTCCTGTCTTTAAGGCTACAAATAATATAGACAGATACCACTTGCCTCACAAATGACTGCATTGCCCTGATCTATTGTATTTCTTATGTTCTGCTAAAGAAACGG